GATTTATTCATTTCTTGATACCGTTGTTTCTTTCTTGCCTTAGTCCACTGGCCAGAACTTCCAGGACTATACTGAGTAAGAGCCAGGAGGGCATCTCTACCTGCCTGACTCCAGATCAGGGGGATTATGGGAGCACTCAGCCTCCAGCCCCTCAGGGTGATGGCAGTTCCTGGTTATTTGAAGATCTCATGTTCTATGTTAAATAAATTCTCTTTATCATTTGTTTGATGATATCTTACTATTAACTGTTGTTGGATGTTTTTTCCTCATCTAATAAGATGGATCCCTTGGATTTATTTTTTCAGTTTGTTAACGTAATTGCCAAATGCTCAATGAATTTGGCATTCCCGGATATATCCAAGTTCCCCTCTTAGATGCTGCCTGAATGAATTGGCCATTTCTGGATTTTGTGTCTATGGTCAAGAGGCTTATTAGTTTAAAGTTTTGTTTTCTGATATCCGTCTTACTTTGATGATAGGGTAAAGTTCGGGCCATTGAACAAATTGGGAAATCTTTCCACGTTTCAAATGACAATGTAACTCACAGAGTGTTCACTGCGTTCAAAGGGCTGTGCTTGGTGCTTCGTTCAGGCTTCACGTCAACCCTGCAGCGTAGGGACTGTCACCGTCACTGCTCCGTTTTTAAAGAGAGGGCAACTGAAGCACGGAGAAGCTAATGTCACTTGTCCATAGCTGCACAGGCTATGAGCATCAAAGCCATGGCATAGAATCCCAGAGGGTCAGGCCCCTCATTTCCACTCTTAGTCTGCTTACTCCACCTTCTTTGATCAAAACTGTTTGTGGTTTAAAGAGAACACTTCTGCAGGGTCCAGCACAGTCACCGGGCGACTTGTATATTTACCTTTGATAAATAACCATGGTAACTACGGTGTGTCGGGCTCCCTCCATCTCATCCCAGCCATCAGAGGCAGGTCTCTTCACCCTCGCTACTCAGCTATGAAAACCTTCCTTCCTGTAGGGTGGGAGCCATCACAAACTATCATCTCCTTCCTCACCCTGCTTTCCTTCATGCCTGGGACACTTTTCAGGAAGCAGAACAACTTTGTGGTGTGCCTTCCTTATCAGGGCAACTCACCTTTCACCTCCTTGTGTCTCGGCCCCAGGCATTCAAGTTCATAGCTTCCTCCCTCTTCTGCCATTTCTTTATACGGCCTTGTCTCCCCACTAAGACAATCAGCATTAGCTCTTCCAACTTAGCTCCTGTGTCTTGAGAAGTTAAAAACCCCTCTCTCACTTAAAAAGAAGTGGGGAGAGAAACCTGGGATTTTATGAAGGGCAGGGGCACCGATATTCTTTGCTAAGTCTTTAGCATTGAGGGACCATGGTTAGTTAAAATGGCTTTTCTTGTGGAAGGAAGGAAACACAAAGCAACAGAAAGAGCAGGTGCATTTAGTTCTGGTTTGGCTCTATGGGTGTGGGGCATATGCGGTGCTTCTCTGCATCTCAGTTTACTCAGTCTTAAAATGGGTTCAAGATGCACGTGTAGGTCATAGGAAGGTAGTAGAGATGAAGCGGCAGCATGTGGGTGAAAGGATCTGCTGTGGAGAAGGCACTGAGAAACATGTGCTTCTCTCGGACCACATATGTTCTGAATGTTTTGTGGTGTGAGGTTTTACTACACTGCCTAACCTGGCCTTCAGCTTCTCATCTTAAGAAATCCTCCTGCCCTAGCCTTCTGAATAGCTAAGACCATAGGTATGACTTGAGCTATTTTTATATAGATAGTATCTGAATTAAGAGATGCTTCTTGGGGAGGCAATTATGTATGACTTCTACCCATTTTACTGATGGGGCAAACTGTGGAACTGCTTGCCTACAGATTCCGAAGTAGCTAGCTCTGCCGGTTTCTTCATACTGGAATTCCTTGGACACATGCCAGGCCTGTTGCACTGGACCACACAGGCAATTACTTAAAGTGAGGGGATGGACCATATGGCTTTTTTCAAGCCCTTTTTGCCAACCTAGGGGTGTGTGTGGCCAGAGACACCTGCCACTTTCCTGTAATTGCTGGATCTTTCTTGGCAAGCACCCAGGCATTCCCTACTCGTCTCTCCATTTCCACTCACATCGCTGACAGCTCTTTCGGGGGAGGGGCTGGAAAACTTGGAGTGAGTTCACTGCTGGGAATAGTGATTCAATTAAAATCTCAGTTTTCAACAATACTAGCAAGGCCTGTTGCTATGGCACACCTCACGTGGCTGTGTCTCTCCATCAACAGAGGTGACGGGGGCTTGCTGATTGATGGTGACTATAAGCTGAGGAGGCCATCGTGGTGAACTCTCAAGGCTAAAGTGTCAGGCTGATTGCACCTCCTGGACCCTCTGCTGGCTCCCTAATCATGTTGAGCAGCCCCCTTCTCCTGGCAACCCCATGGGATGACAACTATAACCACGGTCACACAGTGTCAATCATTGCAGCTCGGCCACCGAGCTGCATGCTTAACCACCTCCTCACTTTCACCAAAGCTGCCATTTGATGCTTCTACCCTAGGGATAGCCACTCTCATAATGTCCATTTTTATAGAAATAAACTGAGGCACAGAGCCCCCCACACCACCTAACTCTGGGGGAGGCTGGGTTAATATTCAGTATGCACTCTCCTTTGCTGGGATATGTTTGCTCCCCTATGCAGCTTCAAAACAGTGATCCCCACCCTTCCTAATGCTGAGACCCTTTAACAAAGTTCTGCATATTGTGGTGACCATTCAATGGTAAAATTATTTTTGTTGCTACTTCATAACTGTAATTTTGCTACTATTATGAATCATGATATAATTATCTGTGCTTTCTGATAGTCTTAGGTGACCCCTATGAAAGGGTCATTTGATCCTCCAAAGGTAGAGAACCCACAGGTTGAGAACCATGGCTTTACAAGAATAACAAGGACCCTGCCTTCGAACCAGCCTTCCAGGTTGCTAACAAAAACACTTTTGGCTCGTGGGTTGGGTGAGACTGATCTTCTCTTCAGTCTTCTCTAGGAACTTGATCCTTCTGTTTCCATTGGCTGCCTCTAAAGGCATATGCTTCCACTGTGAGTTCCCCTGAAGACCCTTGGGAGCCCTTTGGCACATTCTTAGTGCTTTTTTTTTCAGTAGGTGGTCAAAATTGTTAGTTAAGTCTGTAAACACATGCACACCATCTAAGTTCAAATCTCAGCCCTTCTCTCTTAAATCCCTAAGTCCTGGGCTAAGCCTACGCCAAGCACAGTGCCCAGCATACAGTGGGTGCCATAGCTATGGCTGGGAAAGACCACAGCTGTTCAGGAGAGTTAGACTATGAAGGTTCAAGACACTTTGATTTGAGGTCACTGACAGTCTGAGCAGTCCCCGTTCTCCTAACCTCACGTCCTGTTTTGAGCTCTTGGAGGTCATCCTCATTGTCTTTGCAGCACTGCCCCTTAGAATTGTAGAAAAAAATGCCCGAGAGAGTGAGTGGCCAGCATGAGCAGCGGGGGAGGTGGAGAGGTCAGGAAGGGGGTTCATTGCACTATGATAGGGCTGCTGTCAAAGAGGGGCTCTGGTTCTTCACTTCAGCAAACATCACACATATCCAACCCCCTCAGAAATTCAACTCCCAATAGGGAGCTCTGGGAACAGACTCTGGGGGGCAGAAGGGGGAGATGCAACCTGAATGGAAATCAATTTCAGCTCCAGGTAATTACAGGAGTGCCCTATCTGGTAGGGTACAACAGAGGTGGAGCCCCTCTCCTCGGGAGGGATAAGTTAGGGGGAGAGTTTGCCTTCACCGGGGACTGCAGGCGCCCAGCTAGGGAAACTTGTGCTCGCCTGTGCTGGTTAACATGTGAGTGGATTCCCTAAATGTTTGAGGAAAGGAAGGCTCTCAGATTTTAGAAGACTAAAGCCCAACCTCTCAGCATCTTAAGATGCTCAAGTCCTCAGAGCAGAGATGACAAGTGGTGGAAGCTGAGATTCTCTCTTGGACAGGGTTTTTTCTCTTTCTGAGTCCTTCTGTCTCTAGCCCTTTCTTCTGCCTGCAGGTGACTCCAGGAATGTACATGACACTGTGTGGATGACAGGATTATCCAAAGACCCAAAACTGAGGCAACCCCCCCCCCTCTGTTTTTCCTGGATCCAGTTGTTCTCCCACATAGTCCAGGCAGACACCCATTCCTTCTCCCTCAAGCAGCTCATCTCTCTTCAGGAATTCACTACAAGTCTCAGCTTCACTTTCCAGAGGACATTAAGGACCAGCCAGCCACTCATCTGCCTCGCTGGGAGCTGCCCTAGAAGGGAGGACTAGGGTTGACCTGGAGGTAAAGCCAGAGGAGACAGACATAAACTCAAGGAGACTGTTGTGCCCTGAGGTGGTAGTCCTGGTAGCCAGTGCGCTTCGCTGAACAGTTGCCCTATCCATTCCATACCAAGGGGCGCCACTCCTTGACTCTTCCTGGACATAAAGGGATACCTTACTCCCTCAGGGCTGATAGCGGATAGCAAGGACGTATCCCATTGTTCCTTGAACTCGAGTGGTCAGTATCAAGGTCTCCGTAGCATTAGGCGGGGAGATACAGAAGGATAGGGTGGCAGAAGTGTTCTCAGTGAGGTGATAGTGTGGGGGAAAGGTAGGGGAGGAGCCCTTAAGCTTTCTGCCCAGAAGCTGCAGTTAAGTCTCACACAGCCCTTCTGGGACCCCTCAGGGACTCGACGAGAGAGAGAGAGAGAGAGAGAGAGAGAGAGAGAGAGAGAGAGAGAGAGAGAGAGAGAATGAATACGGGCGCGCTTTGGAGTGAATGCACACCCACAAGTCAAAATGCCCTGGCGCCACAGAAGCACTGTCCCCACCAAGTCATGCGACATCCTTTCATTCTGATCTAAAAACCACCACAGTTGCCACCAAGGTTTAAACTTTGTTATTTTTCAAAGCGGGCTCCAGGGCACTTCCCGAGAAAATGTCTGGGATCCCGTAGGTTGCCACAACTTGGGACTCCCGGCTTCCTTTCCTCTCCCTCAGGTCCCCTCACCTGGTAATCCAAGGCACAGCAAAAAGCTGTAGTAGACCACCGGCACGAAGCCCAAGCCGCAAGCCGAGCTGTTGGCGGCGAGGTGGGCGTGCGTGTGCTCCATGAGCGCGCCCCTAGCCGTGCTGGACTCGACACAGCTGCCAAGCTGGTGGGGACCAGGTAGCAGCTGGGGCGGGATCCCGGATCGCCTCAAGGCGGGACCCACTTGCACCCCTGGCCGTTGTCCTCAGCCGGCTCCGCACCTGCCTTCCTGGATCCGCAGCTCCGCTCTCTAGCAGGGCGCAGGGGACGCGGGAGGGGCTCTCGGATCCGGAGTGTGCACCTCCCTCCAAGGACCGCTCAGCTCCCGCCTCAAAACCCCGGCCCGGACGCCGCTGTCCGCAGCCAATCAGCAGCTGCCTGCATGGTGTCTCAGTGAGTGTGTGTGTGTGTGTGTGTGTGTGTGTGTGTGTGTGTGTCCACGAGCGCGCGCACGCGCTGGGGGTGGGAGCATCGGGTGGGACGTTCCAGCAGAGCCGGGTCGCAGCAGCGCTTTCTAGCTCCAGTTTCTTGAGGAAAAGACCAGGTTAACTTGGGAAACCCAGAGGAAGACTGGGATGGAGAATAGGCTACCCTGGGTTTCCAATCCTTGTGGGAGAGGCGTGGTGTGGAAACGACCTGCTTCTTCCTTAGCCCTCTTCTTTACCCCTTTAGCATGTCCTCAGTTTTCCTTTTGACTCTCCTCCCAGATGCCTATCCCCGATCCCTGCCAAAGCCTTTAGTCCATCTTCCTGTAGAGGAGTCTCCACCCCTGGGATGGGGGATGGGGTCGCGACTGTTGGAGCCTAGAGAATGTTTTTTTTTTTCTTCTTTTTCTTTTATTTTTCATTTATTTATTTAATTTTGCTTGCCTGGATCAGAGAGCTGAGCTTGTGGTTCTGAAGGAAGACTGTGAACATCTTTGCGTGTGCCACCAGGTAGATGGTGCTGTCCCTGAACTTGGTAGAGATGCAGGATGGCTAAGAGAAGCCATCCACACAGCCTTCAGCCTGGGAAAAAACGTCGCAGCCACTGAGACACACATTCACCCACACGCACACAAAGGCATACAATGCCTAGCCATGCGGGTGCACTTACTCACACACTCACGCACGCGGATGCTCTCATCTTCCACACCTAGCTCGACTGGTGAAAACGTGCAGACACCCTCATCAATATGCAGGAGGGCGCAGCAGGCTCAGGCGGAGCCTTGAACAAGTACACAAATGCATGTAGGGGGCTGGGAGGTCTGAAGTGTTTGAAGGTTGTGTGAAGGAGAGTATGGGAAGAGCAGGTGGGATCTCTGCAGCGGAGGAGTGCCCCCTTTGCAGGAGAGGCAGGCAGAGCGCTCAGAGAGCTTCACTTGTCAAGGGTACCCAAGAATCAGCTCGGAAGAGACATCTGCCCCAGGCTCAAGTCAAGCCTGGACGTTAAAGGCACAGCAGGAGCAGAGGCAAGGCTTTTCAGGAGCGAACTGAAGCTGATGCAAGCGAGGGGCGTGCGGCTGGCTCTAAGATGTTGGAGACACCTCCCCCCTCCCCGCCCCGCCAATACACACACTCCTCCCCTAACATCTGTTCTGGAGAGAAGGAGTTGGCTGAGCTTCTTCTGGATATCCAGCAAGGGCCCAGTGTCCTGTCCCCACCTCTGTTGGGAGCACCCCCGGGCAGTGAGTGGAGGAGGAGAAGGCTAAAAATCTAAAGTTGTGGAGGGATCTGCTGGCCTCAGCTGGGTCTGTGGTGGACAGACAGGCACCCAGACCCTAAAAGGACAAGGTTGTTACTGAGTCCCGTGGGTAATCTTAAACCCAGTCTGATATTTCAAGCTCCATTAGATAGATAGCAAAAATTTTTGTGACCTTTCTTGTTGTCTAACTTTTTGCTATATTTGTATTCTCGGTTGACACACAGCGTCATGCATATTTCTGGGGGTGTGATGATATTTGGATTCCTGTATTTGATGTGTAATGAACAAATCAGCGTAACTAGCATACTTGTTACCTTAAGCACATCATGTCTTTTGTGGGAGTACACTCAAAATCCTCTCTTGGGGTCAGGTGTGTTGCTTAGTTGTCAGAGCGCTTGGACCAGCAGTGGCACATAAGACCTGGCTCAGAGGTTCAAGTCTGTAGTCCCAGTATTGGGAAGTGAGGACAGATGGATCAGAGATACAAAGGCATCCTTGGCTACAGAAAATCCTCTCGTTGTAATCTTGAATGTGACTACCCTTCCCATAAAAGTCTAAAGAACACAACAAAACACCTCTATGGTGCTAGACAAAGTAGCCCCCAATTGCTGCAAAAGGTCAACACATAATTGCTGTAAATCTAGAGACTGGATTGGCCTGTAGATGGTGCTGTATTGAGATGAGAGGTTGGGGTTGGGGAATAGGTGTGGTCTGGCAAAACCGCCAGCCTCTTCTCTTCAGAGGTCCCTACAAAACAAGCCCCAGAGCTTTGCATAGGCTGGGATGTTCTTCTGGAAGCTTCTGCCTCCTCACCTCTATGTCGCCTCACTCACAGCTCACACTGTCTCCTCAGTCTTTGCATTGTCTATCATTGGCAATCCTACTTACGATTGACATCTCAATTATTCTCCACCCCAAATCTTGCACTCCTTCCATCCTCCTCCCCGAAGACTTAGCACCATCATCCTACCACATAAGATCTGATTTGTCTTGTTTCTTGTCCATTCCTGCCTTGGAAGCTCAAGGCCTTTCAAAGTCTTTGGGGTTCCGGTTGTATCCTCAGTTTTTCACTGCAAGCCAACAGTGCATCGTCAAAACCCATGGGAAAAATGAAGTCTGCCATACCCACTGGTGGAGGCTGTTGAGCATGAATCTATCTTTGCTTTTGCAACACAGATGGGTTTGTGCTGGAGTTGGGGACCCAGCCGTAGATTTAGCATGCAATGATCATATTTGATGACACTTCCAAAACGATTCAAATTCTAAGGCCCATTGTTAGAAACCCCTCATAGAACCTGGGTGGGCAGAGGACCTGCACGGCATGGGAATACTGAAAGACCTAACATTGACTTCTTCATTTGTAAAATGGGATGAAACAAAGTAGGAATGCTGTTGTCCCTGAATGCTGTTGTCTCTCTGTGCAGAAATAGTGGGAGTGTGATGGGAGAAGGGTAGACTACAACCCCAAGTGCTGGAGGAGTTACTCTCTATCACCTGCTGCCCCCTTGGGACACTTGGCAACTGGTTGGTTATAGTCTGTTTCTTGCAGGGGGGGATGCATGCTTGAATGAAAATATGTTCAAGGTTTTTAGTCCGGCTTTGGATACTCTCAGTCTTAGGGGACGTATATGGTGAGTTCCCACAGTCTACTTGAATTGGGTGTGGTGGAGGGAGCATGCCTGTAATCCCTGCACTAGAGACGCTGATGCAGAAGATTTGTCAGTTAGAGGTCATCCTGGCCTATATAGTGATATCCTGTTCCCCCCAAAAAAACCTAATCCCTCAAGGTAGAATTTGCTCCAAAACTGACTCTTTTGGCCGGCTCTAAAGGACACAGGCATGTGTGGGCTGATACAAAAGGGTGGGAACATCCATGCATTCTCGCTTTCAGTAGACTTTTCATGAAGGTGTAAATCACAAACAATCCCACAGCAGTTTGGAATTATGATGAATAAGGTGGCATTTATTTAAAGGGGAAAAAACTTACAGATCACCGTCCCAGACAACAGCCCTCTGCGCAATCAGGAAGGAGTCTAGTCCCCGGAAGCGGAGCAGAAAGTAAGAGAGAGCAAGGAGGGAAGACACCATTTTTTTAAAGAGAGAGACCATGCCCCAATGGGCTGGTATCTCAGCGGCTATTGGCTGGAGGAGCAGAAGGAACTCCTGCAACATTTTCATAGCTCTTCATGTGTGCTGGTCAGAGCCCAGTGCTAAAGAAAATGTGACATCCTATGTACAGAAATTATTAGGTTTTTAAAAATGTCAGTAGCAAAGCTTTAAACTGACTATGGCACCCTTGTTGGTGTGGGGTCCTGGGTAACCACATGGGTAATATACCTTGCTTGTGACTGGTCCTGCCGGCAGTGCACAGATGTGAGTGTTGTGGTCCAATTTCCTATGTGTTGAGGGCTTATCAACACATAGGCATCTGTTTGAAAAGTCAGCCCTGTAATCACAGTGCGAAGGAGGGGAGTGTTGAGCTCTAGTCCACAGATGAGAAAATTGACCCAGAGAAGTTCAGTAATGTTGTGGAGATCTCCTGATTGGGAGTTGGCCCAAGATACTCTGATACCTAAGTCTATGCTAAGGTTTCTGGGGTACTCAGACTGGTGCAAGGATAGGCACATGGGAATACTGTCATTCTGGCATGCAGCTCTTGTGAGTCTCTGTCTGTCTTGTCTTCACTTGAATTCTCAATGCAGCATCAGACAAGTGTCCAGAAATAAAACCAGAATAAATTCCTAAGCGACGGCAAAAGGAATATAGGCATAATATCAGAGTGGGAGCAGAGAACCCAAGTGTCAGCACGCCTGGTGGGTAGTGACCGCCCGTGAGGCAGAAACGCTCCTCTTTCTTTCCATTCACAAGGAAGTGTGCTGCCCCCCGTGTTACTGAGCGCTCTGGGCCATCTCCATCTAAACCCCATTGCTCTGCCTGTTTGTAGTTGGAGATGATCTGAAGGACAACTCTTTAACAGAAACAGCAGCACAAACATAAGTTAGCTCAACTAAGACTTAGGAGAGGTGGGGGTCGGAGCAACTCAGAAATGTGTGTGCTGGCCGCTGTAATGGGTTCTGAACAGTCAATTGTTTAGGAACGTTAGAACGGTCTCTGTACTTTCAGCGATGAGAATCCATGCATCGCTCATAAAATTGGACTAACTGGAGCTGTCTTAACCCTTCCTCTGTTTTCTCCTTACTTTAGAAGTCTTCTCCTAAGGCTCACTCCATTTGGAAGCCTTTCCTGTATGCCCCCTTTCTCCCTGACCCAGACCTCCCTCCTCTATGGCATCTCTTACCACACCGTGTCGACACAAGGAGGTTGTCTGTCACCTGCCCATCTAGATTCAGATTACCACCTGGCCAGGGTGTACTGCTTTATTTCTGACTCTTTGACATAAGGTCTACTCACAGCGTGCCCTGTGTCATTATCAGACATAGCTTTGACGCCCTGCTCAGTTCCCTCATAACTGCATGTGTCTCAGTACCCTCTTGAGGGGATTGTTAGAGAAGGGCCATGACAGCTCCAG